GAATCGCTTGAGCCCAGGAGTTTGAGGTTGCTGTGAGCTATGAGACGCCAGTGCACTTCAGCCTGGGCGACAGAATGAGACCTTGTCTGTCGTCCAGGCTGAAGTGCAGTGCCTCCCAAAGTGCACAGACAGACGGCCCAAGATGTTGGCATGATGTCGTCTCTGGGGCCATTATGTTCTTCCCCTGAGCCTGGCTCCCTCCCTTGGGCTTTCAAAGTTTCCTAAATTCCCAGGGGTTTCCAGGTAGGGCAGTGATAGCCCAGGGCTCCAAATCCCTGCTCGTCGCCTGCCACTCATACCCCGAGACACTTCCTCTTTCCCTCTGACCACTGGCTCCGGAGCCTCCTGCCCCCACAGTTCCGCCCTCCTGTGGCGACGCTCAAATTGGTAGCTTCGTGCAGCCGTGGGGTGAGCCATGTGCGTCCCTCGAGCCACTCTGGGCACAGACACTCGAGGCAGTCGGGGGTGCGCAGGGATTGGAGGATGAGCAGCCAGATAAGCTGAGCCCCAGGGAATCGGAAAGAAACGTGCCAGTACGCAACCAGACTTGGGTCCCACTCATGACACCTAACCAGTGCTCACTGTCCTCGCCTGTGAAATGGGGATGAAAATAGCATCCACTCAGGAACAGACAAACACAGCAGGTGTAGCCTAGGACCGCGGCACAGAGTATAGGTACTTCATTAAACAAGCCGTGTCGTTGTTTTGCTTTTTTGTTTTGTTTGTTTTCTACTCTGGGTCCTCTTAAGACTCGGTCTCTCTTGTTTCTTGGAGGTCAGGTGCCAAACTTTTCCAGGACTCGAGTCTGGGCAACACGGTCAACATCCTGGTGACCCGCCTTATCCTGCTCACAGAAGACAGGTGCGGGGGTGCAGGGGTGTGGGGGTTCAGAGGGGAGGGGGAGGTCCCTCCCTTTACCCACCACCCCCCGCCATGCCAGGGTGGGGCTCAGCTCCACTGGCACCTCATCTGTCCACCCCCAAGCCCACTCCAACAACTGGACCATTCACGCAACACTCTTCCTTGGCTTACCCATCTGCAAAATGGGGGTAATACTGGCATCTGCTTCACAAGGTACCTACCTCGTAAGGCTGAGTTGGATTCGGTGCATTGATAAAGTGCTTGGAACAGTGCAGTTGGCAAACAGGAGGTGCTATATAAGTGTTCGCTGTGTATAAAAATAAGCACAGGCCAGGCACGGTGGCTCATGCCTATACTCCCAGCACTTTGGGAGGGAGGCCAAGGCGGGAGGATGGCTTGAGGCCAGCAGTTTGAGGCCAACCTGGGCAACATAGCAAGATCCCATCTCTACAAAAAATAGAAAAAGTTAGCCAGGCGTGTTGGCACACACCTGTAGTCCCAGCTACTCGGGAGGCTGAGGCAGGAGGATCGCTTGAGCCCAGGAGTTTGAGGTTGCTGTGAGCTATGATGACGCCAGTGCACTTCAGCCTGGGCGACAGAATGAGACCTTGTCTGTCGTCCAGGCTGAAGTGCAGTGCCTCCCAAAGTGCACAGACAGACGGCCCAAGATGTTGGCATGATGTCGTCTCTGGGGCCATTATGTTCTGCCTGAGCCTGGCCTCCCTCCCTTGGGCTTTCAAAGTTTCCTAAATTCCCAGGGGTTTCCAGGTAGGGCAGTGATAGCCCAGGGCTCCAAGATCCCTGCTCGTCGCCTGCCCACTCATACCCCGAGACACTTCCTCTTTCCCTCTGACCACTGGCTCCAGAGCCTCCTGCCCCCACAGTTCCGCCCTCCTGTGGCGACGCTCAAATTGGTAGCTTCGTGCAGCCGTGGGGTGAGCCATGTGCGTCCCTCGAGCCACTCTGGGCACAGACACTCTGGGCAGTCGGGGGTGCGCAGGGATTGGAGGATGAGCAGCCAGATAAGCTGAGCCCCAGGGAATCGGAAAGAAACGTGGCAGTACGCAACCCAGACTTGGGTCCCACTCATGACACCTAACCAGGTGCTCACTGTCCTCGCCTGTGAAATGGGGATGAAAATAGCATCCACTCAGGAACAGACAAACAGCAGGTGTAGCCTAGGACCCGGCACAGAGTATAGGTACTTCATTAAAACAAGCCGCTGTCGTTGTTTTGCTTTTTTGTTTTGTTTTGTTTTCTACTCTGGGCTCCTCTTAAGACTCGGTCTCTCTTGTTTCTTGGAGGTCAGGTTGCCAAACTTTTCCAGGACTCGAGTCTGGGCAACACGGTCAACATCCTGGTGACCCGCCTTATCCTGCTCACAGAAGACCAGGTGCGGGGGTGCAGGGGTGTGGGGGTTCAGAGGGGAGGGGGAGGTCCCTCCCTTTACCCCACCCCCCGCCATGCCAGGGTGGTGGGCGCTCACGCACCTCACTCTGTCCACCCCCAGCCCACTCTGGACATCACGCACCACGCCGGGAAGTCCCTGGACAGCTTCTGTAAGTGGCAGAAATCCATCGTGAACCACAGTGGCCATGGCAACGCCATCCCGGAGAACGGCATGGCCAACCATGACACAGCGGTGCTCATCACGCGGTGAGGGGCAGGGAGGGGCTCCAGGACTTGGGCAGGGGGGACAAGCAGTCCCGGGGACTGTCACAATCCAAGCGGAGGTCACCCCTGGGGGAGCCAGGGATGGAGAGAGGCTGCTTGTGAATGAGGGGAGGGAGGTGTTGGACCATTTGGGCACTGATGCATTCATTCACTCCTTCTCCCATTCATTCATTCATTCCTGTACCCCCGGCATGCACGACATCAGCAGGTTGGCTCGAGCTGGGGGCACAGTGTGAGCTAGAGGCAGGTGATGCCCCCAGGCAGGGCGCAGCCCCCAGAGCCGGGCGTGGTGGCATCCGCCTGGCTCAGGGAGGCAGCCAGAACCCGCGCCTTTGTCTCCGTTTGCAGTTACGACATCTGCATCTACAAGAACAAGCCCTGCGGCACTTTAGGTACCTGAGCCCCGTGGGTTTCAGGCACCTGTGAGGGAGGAAGGCAGTGGACCGGGGAGACCCTGGCCCCGGGGTGGCGTGTGAGACCTGGCAGGGCGGCTGGGGCCGGCTGGCACAAGCCCACCCCACGCCCCGTTCTGCCAGGCCTGGCCCCGGTGGGCGGCATGTGCGAGAGGGAGAGGAGCTGCAGCATCAACGAGGACATCGGGCTGGCCACGGCGTTCACCATTGCCCACGAGATTGGGCACACGTGAGGACGGGGGACACCGGAGGGGGACAGCGGGAGGAGCTGGGCGGGCCCCCCCCTCCCGGCGCCCCGCAGAGCCAACACCCCTCTCCCCAGATTCGGCATGAACCACGACGGCGTGGGCAACAGCTGCGGGGCCCGGGGCCAGGACCCAGCCAAGCTCATGGCCGCCCACATCACCATGAAGACCAACCCGTTCGTGTGGTCGTCGTGCAGCCGCGACTACATCACCAGCTTCCTGGAGTGAGGACCCGCTCGCGGGGCAGGGGCGGGGAGGCTCTAGAAATCGGGGACACCCCCCCCATCCAGATTCCTCCCCTCGTAGCTCGGGCCTGGGACTCTGCCTGAACAACCGGCCCCCCAGACAGGACTTCGTGTACCCGACCGTGGCGCCCGGCCAAGCTTACGACGCCGACGAGCAGTGCCGCTTCCAGCATGGCGTCAAATCGCGTCAGTGTAAATACGGGGTAGAGAGAGCCTTCCTGCCTTCCTTCCTGGGAGGGGATGCGCCGCAGGGGGGCCAGGAGCTCCGCCAGGACACCCGCCCGCCTGGGCAGCCCAGGGTCTGGGAGAGCCGGGAAGGAGGGTAAAGTGACCCCCGTGGGGACCTGGGGGGGACAGAGGTGCATGGGCTGCACACAGTGTCCCAAGCAATCCGACAGTGCTCGGGGACAAGAACGGGACCTCCTCCTCCAGATTGAAGGCCTGGGCTCGGGGAAGGGGGGGGGGCCACCTTCTGTCTGGCCCATGAGCAAGACCTGTCACTGGGCAGTTTTTAACTAAACATCTAGACTTCATGAAGAATAGCTCATTCCCTGGGGCTGGTCATCTTCCTCACTTGACAAAGAACTGGACAGAACCTTCCAGCCACCCCCTGTCTTCATTCCCCACATCCCCCTACTGACTGGTTCACGAGGTCTCGTGCATAGGGCCGTGAGCAGCGGGGGACTGGGGGAGGGGTCCCACCTCCAACTGTCCCCACCCAAGACGCCGAATACCTCTCGGCTCCCGGCTGCAGCCACCAGGGCTCAGCCAGGGTCTGCCCCTTCCTGTGCCCACATTCGCGCAATTCTCCCAGCACACTCCCCGCACAGCCCGGGCGCCCGGGGCCCAGGCCCAGCGCTGCACACCCGCACGACTCACGAGGATCTGAGTCCGCATGGCCTTGTGCAAGCTACTGCCACGTCAAACGCAGAGCTGCCAGCATGCCCTCACGCCATTCCATTGCAAGGCAAGGAACCAAACTCTGAAATGATTTATATTTCATTGATTTTCCACTCTTGCCCCCTGCCCCCACCACCACCACCACCACCACCACCCCAACTTAGCTGGTAACCACCCTCTCGTGGACTCCTAACGAATTCCGAAGCTACCCCTGAACATGTTCTGTGTCCCGGGTATGCTCACAACGGCGACAGGGTCCGACACTCACTGAATGCTCAGCGAGTGCTAAGCATGCCATACGCTACCATCTCGTCGAAACTCCTGGCGATCCTGTTATCCCCAAGTTACAGATGAAGGGCGTGAGGGATGGGGAGAGGTGACTTGCCCAAGGCCACAGCGAGAATATGGCAGGGCTGAGATCTCAATCCGTGTCTCTATGCGACCAAATTTGACAGGGGTTGGGGTGAGGCAAAGTGAGCAGCTGGCAGAATATTAAGCGTGGGCTGTCACTGGCTACATATTGAATCGAGCCTGCCTTTTGTCTTTTGTAGGAACATCTTTCTGGCCCTCCTTGCAAAGGGAGGAAGTATTTACTGCTTGTAAACTGGCTAATATATGTGAAGATCTCAGACTAGCGCCAGGTCCAGGGATAGCTGTGGTCATTGTCACCGCATGACAGGGCACTTATACAAGCCCTTCCCTATGTATCCTGTCGCATACCTCACAGCTGTGTATGCAGGCGAGGCAGGCATTAGGCTGCCCATCTTATGGATGAGGAAACTGAGGCCCAGAGAAGGGAAAGGTGTTGCAAGTCAGTGGCAGAGTTGAGGTCTCCCAGAGTGGCCTAGGACTCACATATACCACAGCGCCTCCCTAAGGGAGGGAGGTCGAAAAGCAGGACTCCAATAGTTCTCTGTTAGAGGTGTCAGAAGTGGGACTGGGCCTGGATTGAGGTGTCAGAAGTGGGACTGGGGCTGGATTGGGGTGTCAGAAGTGGGACTGGGGCTGGATTGGGGTGTCAGAAGTGGGACTGGGGTTGGATTGAGGTGGTATTTTTAGAAATGGCCAGGAGGACACAAGCCAAGTGAAGCCAGAAAAGCAGGCTGAGTTTATAGCTGAGAAGTGTCCTCTGTGAAGCAGAAGGCAGGGGGGACTCTCTGGAGACTGGAGGGAGTGTGTTTGAGGACAAGTCTTCAGACTCTCACATATACGCAGGTATCTCTCTGGGGCTGACTCGGGGAGTGTCCCTTCCTATGGCCAGGGATGGATCCAATCCCAAATCATCGAAGCTTAGAAGGATTCTGTTCGAAGAGGGGTCTGTGCCTGATTTTAAAATGAGACAGAAGGATCTCTGCTTCTCAGGTGGAAGGTCCTGGGTGGTTGGTCAGGACGGACACCAAGAGTGTCCGAGCTTTGGCCACCTTGACGCCAGTGGGGCTTCTCCGGGGATTTTAACCTGGACCTAAAGGGTCAGAATGAGTCCCTGGGACTGGCCCAGCTTCCTGCTGTGGACAGGGCCTGGGCCAGCCTTGGCAGAAGTCAGGCAGGAAGAGAGTCGGGCTGACTTTTCACTGGGGGAAACAGAGAAACATCCCACATGGACCCGGCCCGGTGGGGTCCCCTCTCAGACTCCCACCACCCTCCCTTTCAGCTTAAAAGTGTGAGGGCCTTCTCCAGTTGAGGTGGGAGACTAAAGAGAACTACCAGATTGAGGGGGGAAAAAAAAAAAAAAACTAGAGATGGGGCCCTTGACCTGAGTCACCAACCAGGCCTGATCTCTCAGAACCGCCACTGTCCCCTGGGCTGCTTTTGCCACTTCCAAACAAGCCAGAATCCTTCCTATGCATTCCTCGGCAGGCCCCAAATTTCCTTCTAGAAACTCTGAAGTCGTGAGAAGCTGAATTGCAGAGTTCATTAGGGCACAAACTCTGCATCAAAGATCCGGGGTTAGAGACTCCAGGCTGCCCCTTAGTAGCCGCCTGACCTCTAGCGAGTGACCTTACCTGTCTGAAGCTTGGTTTTCTCCCGGTGGGATGGGAATAGTCATGCCTAGGGGAGTTTGCGGCCTACTGAGGCGGCCCATGAACGCAGCTTACTGGCAGAGGATGAGGCCCAGGCCACCCCAGCAAGGGAAGCCAAGACGACTTGTTGAGACCCAGGAAAAGGAGCGTTTTGGGGGGCCGCCCCCAGCTCGGGGCCTGCAGTGAGCGGGGCGCCTGGGTCCTCCCGAGCCGGGCGGGCTGCCCCAGGGAGGAGGGCGGGCGCGAGCCTGAGCGGGCGCCTCGGCCCGCAGGAGGTCTGCAGCGAGCTGTGGTGTCTGAGCAAGAGCAACCGGTGCATCACCAACAGCATCCCGGCCGCCGAGGGCACGCTGTGCCAGACGCACACCATCGACAAGGGGGTGAGCGTCGCCGGGGGACCCCCAGCCAGGCCCCGCCCCCTGCCCTTGGGCCACCCTCCTGGATCCCCGCCGCTTCCCGCGCAGGCCCCGCCCAGCCCGCCTGGTCTCTCTCGGCTGTGGCCACGCCCACCGCCCGTAGGTCCCGCCCCTGGCCAGAGGCCACTCCCCGCGCGCTTGTCCTGGTACCATCTTGACCCCACCCCCACACACGCCGCCGCTCCTGACCCTAAGGCTAGGCCCCGCCTCCAGCCTGAGCGGCGTCCGGCTCCCTGGCTACTGCGCCCCTGTCCCCGCCTTCCCACCCCGCCTTTGTCCAGGGGCCTGAGACCCCTGTCTGGGGCGTGGAGCGGGCGGCAGGGGACACCGAGCCCACGCGTGTCCGCGGAGCCGGACCCACTCCTCTCCCTCTGTTCCCACCCAGTGGTGCTACAAGCGGGTGTGCGTCCCCTTCGGGTCGCGGCCAGAGGGCGTGGACGGAGCCTGGGGCCCGTGGACCTCGTGGGGCGACTGCAGCCGGACGTGCGGCGGCGGCGTGTCCTCCTCCAGCCGTCACTGCGACAGCCCCAGGTCAGCCTCCTCCCCCGCCCCGCCCCCGCCCATGTCCCCGTCCCCACCTCCCCCTGCCTCACCTCTGTCCTGGCCCCCCACCCCTTCCAGGCCAACCATCGGGGGCAAGTACTGCCTGGGCGAGCGAAGGCGACACCGCTCCTGCAACACGGATGTGAGTTTCCCCAGACCCCGCTGGGTGGGCGGAGGAAAAAAAGCATTCTAGAAAGTTGCAAAGTGCTTGGCGCCTGCGGCCTCATCTGGAGCCTGCAGGGGCCGCCCGCTCTCTTCCCTGCCCTCCTCTGCCGCCTGTCCCCGGAGACCCCGCCGTGCCCTTCCCAGAGATCCGACTCTCTTTTCCTCCTGTCTTCAGACTCCAGGAGATGAATCCCCCACCTCGAAATCATTGCTTGGCCCTTACAGCGCACTGCAATCCCGCCGGTTTCCTCCCTTGCAGGCCAAGTCCCCCATCCCCGTCCCAGCCCTGCTCTCTGTCCCCTCCAGCGCTGTAGCTGGGCTTCCTCTCACCAAACCCAGCGGTGCATTCCTGTCCTCTTTCGCTCCTGCCCTCATCTGGCCCGGGACCACCCACCATCACCTTTCTGGAACCCCTGCCTTGCCTGCCTCCCCGTTAGAGCTTCTCTTGGGCTCCTCTGCTGCTCCCACCTTAAATGTCGGGGTTCCCCCCGGCAGGGCCCTGGGTGTAGTAGACACCCAAGCACACACCCCATAAGCAACAGGCTCACTGGAGGAGGGAGGTCCAGAGGACAGGGAGAACTTGCCGGTGGGCAGTGGCTCTCCCAGCCCCCCTGCTGGGGGAGGGGGCTCCTATCCCCATAGTCTGAAGCCAGAAACCTGGGTGTCATCCCCAGCATGTCCCCAGACCTCAAATGCATCACCCAGATGCCCTTCGATGCCTTGGCCAAGCCCATTCTCACCTGGCCCATCGCAGCCTTCTCCCTGGCCTCCCTGCCTCCAACCCATCCAGGTCTGAGCACCACTTCTCTGCCCTAACTCCGTGCTCCACACACACCTGCCATCCCTCTCTCCCCCCTCTCGTGCCACCAGGACTGTCCCCCCGGTTCCCAGGACTTCAGGGAGATGCAGTGCTCTGAGTTCGACAGCATCCCTTTCCGTGGGAAATTCTACACGTGGAAGACGTACCGGGGAGGTGAGTCGGGCACAGAGGCCAAGGGCGGTGCCCGGCGGCAGGTGCATAGACGCAGCGTCTGGGATCTCTCCGGAACCCTGTCCTCACCCAGAGAGCCAGCGTGCCCGGGACAGGGCTCCACGGTGCCTGGACGGGACGCCGGGAGCCCCCTACTCCCTCTGCCCGTTCTGTTGGGTCTGGGGTCTGTCCCTCTTGGCCTCACGCGCCCCCCCAGGCAGTGAGCAGAGGGCCCCAGGGTGGCCTGGCCCACGGAGTGACGGAGCCGTGCCCCCCAGGGGGCGTGAAGGCCTGCTCGCTCACGTGCCTAGCAGAGGGCTTCAACTTCTACACGGAGAGGGCCGCGGCCGTGGTGGACGGGACGCCCTGCCGCCCAGACACCGTGGACATCTGCGTCAGCGGAGAGTGCAAGGTGGGCAACCCCCCCCGGGGGGAGGAGGACAGGGGCCGAGGGGGTCAGGGAATGGGGGCAGCCTCGCTCACCCCCACCCCCACGGGCCTCTCCACGCAGCACGTGGGCTGCGACCGGGTCCTGGGCTCCGACCTGCGGGAGGACAAATGCCGCGTGTGCGGAGGCGACGGCAGTGCCTGCAAAACCATCGAGGGAGTCTTCGGTCCGGCGTCTCCTGGGGCCGGTGAGAGCCCCCGAGCGTCCCTCCCACGCTCCCCGCCCCGGGCCAGGGGACTCGGGGCAGGGCCGACCCCATCGCGTTAGCAAAGAGCAGTAACTCCTCCAAGCCCCGGGTCCCTGCGGGGTGTCGGGGACCCCAAGAAGTCCTGCAGGCACAAACATGAACGCCCCCAGATCTGGGTCAGGAAGAGCCCTGGCAACTGGCCTGGGCTCTGGTGCCTAAACCTCGGCAGTTGGAGTGTCACCGGTCAAAGGGAGACGCTGGCACATCTGTGTCACAGGGCTGGGAAGGGACGCAGTGGGATGTCCCTCTCATGCACCTAGTGCAGTAATGGTTAGCTGCTATTGTTGCAGCCAGGGACAGGGGAGACAGGCGGCTGTGGGGGACATGCCGAG